GATTATTGATCAGGTCTTTGGTCAGATTTTTGGTCAGGTTATTGATCAGATTATTGATCAGGTCTTTGGTCAGATTATTGATCAGGTCTTTGGTCAGATTATTGATCAGGTCTTTGGTCAGGTCTTTGGTCAGGTTATTGATCAGGTCTTTGGTCAGGTTATTGATCAGATTATTGATCAGGTCTTTGGTCAGATTATTGATCAGGTCTTTGGTCAGATTATTGATCAGGTCTTTGGTCAGATTATTGATCAGATTATTGATCAGGTCTTTGGTCAGATTATTGATCAGATTATTGATCAGGTCTTTGGTCAGATTATTGATCAGGTCTTTGGTCAGGTTATTGATCAGGTCTTTGGTCAGATTATTGATCAGGTCTTTGGTCAGGTTATTGATCAGGTCTCACCAGAGCTCTGATGGACTCAGTCTCAGCCTGTAGACTCTGGATCCTACAGCTGACTTCACTGCACTCTGCCTTTAGTGCCTCTACATGCTCCTCCTTCTGACTCAGCCTGCTGCCCACACATTGCGCCTCCTGCTGTACACATGAGCACACACATGCTGGTCATACACATGTTCAAACACCTGTGATGTCATTTGTGCAGGTGACTTGTTCTTACTTTACACTCCAGGTAGCTGTCTGCCTCTGCTCTGTTCTTCTCTGTCACCTTCTCCCAGTGGTTCCTGATGTAAGCCAGAATTTGGTCCAAACTGGTTTCTATTGGAGCATCTGGCTCATCCACTTCCCTGCCCGCCATCTGGTTGTAAAGAGCGCGAATGTCCTGCATTATCAGAAGACACCCAGGTCACGACTGCAGCTACATAACCGTAACTAACACAGTAACTAATAACTGGAGGCACCATCAACAGTTCTGACAAACTACATGTCCAATGGACAACATGTCTGTTGTACTAAGTACAGTATAAACTACTACAACCTGCTCATGATGGTGCTCTAAGCTCCGAAGATCCGCCCTCATGTTCTCCATCTGCTCCTCCAGTTCTGTCTTTGTTATTTTTGCCTCATCAATGACTCGATACAAGGAGCTGATCTCCTCCTCCACCGCCCTCCTGAATGGTTGCTCATTCTCAAACCTGCAGGAGAAACATGTTATTGCTCCTTCTGCAAGAGAAACAATGGGCCTCATGCAAGAACATGTTCGTATTTTTATCCTAAATTTCTCTTACTTTTGTTCGTACAAAGGGTTCGTACGAACATGTC